ACTACATTGTTTTACCTATTTTACTACTCATACAGTTTGTACATACACTCAATGTATGATACTGCTGTAGACCTTGGCTTATGTGTTAGCTACCTATACAGCAAGCAATAGAAATATTGTAGCTACTTCATATAATCAATTGACACTAAGCCCAAATGTTTCCTGACCACATGCTTAGCAAGTTAAGGTCTGTGCTGTAACTTGACACAGTATTCCACTAGTTCAAATATAGCTATTTTTAAGATAAATAATTAAAATAATATTTTAATGTTGTAATGTGTTGTATTAGCTTACTGCAGTGTGGCTAGAACTGGTGTTTAGTTACCCTGATTATTTTTTCTTTGCAGTTTTCTTAGAAAGTATTCAGATAATTTTTTCATGATCCGGTCTTGTTTCCTGAAGTTGATCTTTGAAATGTATCACAGCTCATGTCCAAGCTATGAAATCATAGAAACTGTCTGTAGACCTGAAATTGTGAAGTATAGATTAGGGAAATTTCTAAAGCCACCGTCACCTGACTAACAACGCCTCTACAGTGAAGCACGGTGGAGGCAGCATAGTGCAGCGGGACTGTGGAGGGGGGTTTGTGAGCAGTGCAGACAGACAGACTGGTTAGTATAGTATAGATTCTTACAGCTGCAAGCTGAGAAGAAAGGAAACTTGTTCCAGATTACATAAGAACTGAGACTAGGGTCCAAGTGTCCAACTATAACCCTATACTATAAAGCATCTTAGCATACAGCCACATTTAAGAACGAGAACCTACCCTGTAAGTCTACAAAGACAAAATATCAGGATGCTTTTGTAAATGAGAGATTTTAGTTTGTTTATTGATATGTTGTAGAATAAACATTTTGGTCCACATGAGTAACCTTTCATTTTTCCCAGTAAAAGTAAAAGTATACGATCCGTATTTTTTGTGCTGTGATAGACAGTGAATTTTTCAGAAATACAACTTTTTAGTGGCCACACCTTTTAATGTGCACTTTAGCAGACCATATGGCCTCCTTTTTTACATCACTTGCTTTTTACATGTTTTCCTTCTTGTACTAACCAGTGCTTGTTTTTATTAACCTGCTTTGCCAAATTCTGTTTCCAGAAATTGAAAGCCACATTAAGCCAGCAGCTTCCTCAGGTAACCAATGGAGATGGTGGTGAAATCCAAAGCAGCGCTGTAACACACACCGCTGCCCCTGCTTCTCCTGTCCCGACTCCAACCCCAACTCCAGCCCCGACCGCAATCCTTACTCCGGCTCCTCACCTGCCCACAACCGAGGCACCCTCTCCACATTCTCTGCAGCAGCCAGCCACCTCCACCACAGAGACACCTGTAAGTATCTATATCTTCACAGTTTATTGTTTTATTAATATTTCATATAAGAAGCTACTCTTGTGTGTCTTAAATCTTCAGCTATATTTGAATGTAGACTAATGCAAAGAGATCATCCATTTTTGTTGCTTTTTAAAGTATTTAATCACGGCTGCCATGTCCTTTGGTTTTAAAATGTTGCAGAAGTTCATACAGGTAACAGGTACAGTGAGAGTGAGGGTAAATCTTAATATTGTGTGTGATTACCTGTATAAACACCAAGTATGGAAGTCAAAATATCAATACAATTATACATCATAAATATCAACGCAAATATTAGTATTGACATTTCTAATTAGTGCTAAATAAACATTATAAAAGTCTGACATTGTGTAGTGTGTCCACCAGACACAACAATCAGCTGTTCAAACAGAGTTGGGCAGAATATAAACGAATAATCTCCCTTTCCTGTTGTGTTTAATGGCAAAGAGTGATGGCAAAGTGGTCACTCAGTAGCAGGACCACTTCCAATTCTACTTTCCATTATTAGTATTGTTGTTGTTGTTGTTGTTGTTGTTGTACAGGCTTCCCCGGTGCCCCCTGCACCAAACCCACCAAGCACAGGGGGTCGGCGGCGCAGAACAACGAGCGAAGACCCCGACGAGAAGAGGCGTAAATTCCTGGAGCGGAACAGGGCCGCAGCTTCTCGCTGTAGGCAGAAGAGGAAGGTGTGGGTCCAGTCTCTCGAGAAGAAGGCTGAGGACCTCGCCTCCATGAACGCACGCCTACAGGTGCTCTTTACGTATTTCTTTCATCTGCTGCATGTAAAAAAGCCCAAAAACAAACCACTCCTTCGTCTCTCTTTGTTGTGCGCTCAGATCTATTAGTGTGTCATTTTGTGTATGTACGTGTTCGTACTCTGTGGTGTCTGTTTGTCATTGTACGATGTTAGCGTATGCGTCCGTACACAGACTTTTCCCTTCTGCGGTGATGAAGTCATTAAAGCCGATTAAGAAGAGCTGCCGTGTGACAGCAGCGGTGTGTGAGCCCTTTACATCGATGTGTCCCTGTCAATAAAGATGTATCCTCCAGATGTCAGCCGCACACAAGCGTGTCTTCGCTTCTGTCTCAGCAGTTTACTGAATGGCCTCAAAAATCTCCTAGGGAAAGGTGTCTTTTTGAACCTTCATTTCGCTGGAAGCAATTAGGATCTGATGCTGACAAGTTCGAAACAGTTCATGTATCTGCTGTCTCTGTTGATAAGTGTGAGCCGGGGGTGCGGCACATCGGTGTTCCAGACAATTAAATGAGATGTGGTGTTTATTTGCTCACTGTCTTATTTTTCTATGAAAGCAGAGTAAGATGTGCAGGGTGGAGGAGGGAATACACAGCAGCGGAAAATAAACGGGTTCAGGTTGTTAATATCGTCTGGTTCAAAAAGAAGTTATCAGCACTTGTCAGGCGGCGCTACTTAGGATTTTATTTAAATAAAGGCAGATGAAAAGGAAAGGATAGGTGAGTGAATAAGGCTATGAAATCAAAGAGTTTTATCTGTTAACTGCAAAAAAACAACAACATGTGGCTGAGAAGAAAGGACGCTTCATACGAGGGCATTAATCAGCGGTGCTGCTTTCTTTTTTTTTAAACTCATGCTGACATGGCCCAGCTGATCAGCAAAACTGCCTCTAATGATGCACAATTATTTTAACATCATCCTTAACTGGCTTTTTAATGAGGTGTCAGACCAGGCAGCTCACAGAGCTTCCAGCATCACCAAAGGCCCATTTGCTCGATTTCGATTAAATCACAAAGTTTCAGATAAGTTTTTCACTCTCAAAAGTCCATTTTAGTAACCGTTTAAAATACAATGTCATAAAATGACGCAGTTTGGCGTTACTGGAGCTGGAATTTTTGGCACATGTTTGTCTCTGTCGTGAACTAGTAGGCACGTTTGAAAATAGTGCCTGTTTTCTATTGCCTGTAAATGAAAGCGGTCATGGTGGAAGCACACTGAATACAGTGTTGGCTGGATGTGATACATACGCTCCTTCCAGCTGTGTTTAAATCTGTCTTACAATAGCTCAACCCTGCCAAAACAAGCTAGACTAAACAGATGGAATCAAATAAATTGGCTGCTTTTAGACTAATAGATTAAGCCACCCATAGTCCTTTAAAGGAGAAGAGCCCGAGCTTAAATCTGCCATTGGGTGTTCTGTGGGCCCCTGGCCGCTCTAAATCCAGTTAAAGTCACCTTCAACGTAATGTGGCTCTCTTTTACGACATGCAGAAATCCTCACCTCCCTCGGGAGCTGTAACGACACAAGAGCGTAAATCTCAGCAACATCTACAAAGTTGCTCTGACAATCCGAACAGCTCACCTCTGACAAATGCGCGGGTCGCTAGCCAGTGAAGGCTCATAATTATTGTGCAGGAAATACATAAATGAAAAAGTGCATACTTGATTCTGAATTCATTTGGTGTATTGTTACCTTCCCCCTGTGTTCACCGGTTCTCATCTGAGTCTTTAGAAGTTTGACTGGTCGTGTGGGCGAGGTCTTTAAAATGCAACTCTGCATTTCCAGTAATAATTCATTAGCGATAGAGTTTTTCATATAGAGAGGGCACACAGCCCTCAAGTTGCTTTTGATGTGTCTTCATGCATATGTGAATTTATTATAGTGTATATATATATGCAGATTTTGGGGTTCATTTCTTGCAGTAACATTCCCACTGTAGCATATTGTGTAGCTTTGCTAAACGTGGAACTCATATTTACCCAATTTAGCTCATTGCTTACAAGAGGAATAAATAAAAAATAAATAAATATTTGCATTTACACAATTACCAGCTAACCTTTTGTCTAGTTTGAAAAATCATTTTGTAGGATTTGAACTGTGTGCACCTGTCGTTTATATATCTGACATGCTGTTTGCTCCGGTGGCCATTTTACTGATCGCTCTTGTGTATCTCCTCACTCCTCAAGACTGAAGTCACCGACCTGAGAAACGAAGTGGCTCGGCTGAAGCAGCTTCTTCTGGCTCATAAAGATTGCCCTGTAACCGTCATGCAGAAGAAATCTGGCTATCACAGTGAGTAATGCTCCATTATTCTCAGCCCGAGGCTTCTGGAGAAACGTGTCTAAAAATGAGCTCCGGCTAACCACTAGAAGGACGTGTGGCCAAACAAAAAAGAGCCGTTGACATATTGGCTTCCTTTCTTCTGTTAGTTTTTGACAAACTTTGCAAAAGTTTGGATATTTATGGGTGCTGGTGTATGAGACAAATTCTCACTGGCGTTGTTGTCCCATTCCCGTGAAGAGGCCACAGGTGGTATTCGCACTTCCTCCTCATTTGATACCAACATAAACATTTGTTAGATGAAGTTAAATGTCTGCTGAGTGCGTCTGGACGGATGTTCAGGAGAATAAAAGGTGCCAGGAACTGAATTATAAAGGATGATAAGGATGCTTTTTATGTAACCATTCATTTATTTGCTGTTTGAACATCTTTAGCTTACAATAATCGTTTTAGTGGATATTTGAATAAGCCAGAAGAGCGTGCCATTTGTAGCCTATTTATTCAAATTGCTGTTGTCAGCCTGGACTGTACAGCATCATCACAAAGTCTCATTTAGAAATATATCACCTATTTTTCTTTGTTTCCCCAGACCGGGGCTCTGTCAGTCTGATTTTTTGGTCATAACTCACCTTCCTTCACAGATGAGCCAGCATGCAGCCAGAGCAAATGGGCTCCAAGTCACTTCTCCACTGCTCTGAACACCTCTGCTGACTTGTATTGACAATGATTGCCACTGAAATGAGTCTATTAAAGCAGCAAGCTTGACAGTGCTGCAGACCATTCTCATTGTGGGGTGGCCACCAAGCTCCACTGTTCATTATGCATCTCTTATTGCTAACCATCCCACAGACGCATGTCATGTGCATTATGGGACTGATGGTTTCCAGGCTAGAGTGGGCTGTCATAGCCAAGTCTCATTTGGTGCAGACATTTTTAGCAGAATCCACAGATAAAGTGGGTCATCTTTCTCACATAGTTGCTGAGGGTGTCAGCAAACACGTTTGTGAAACACTTTTGCAACATTTTGTTACACTTTATGGAAAAGTAGAACTTTATTCTAATACCACAGTTTATTAATTTGGTTCATGCTAACAGGTGTGTTTGAGTTTCAAAAATCCTAGAAGGAATGCCAACTATTATGAGAGTGAAAGGAAGTAAGGTAAACTCTGATTGAATGGCAGAATACAAAGATTCCCAATAGTTTTTGATGCCCACCTTAAAAAAATAACACCCTTATGTTCATTTAAACTAGTTTTTCATTAGTTGTGGGACAAAGCAGCAACCGTCTCTTCAGCCAATCACACAGCAACAACTCAGTGCATGTAGACATGGTCAAGATGACCTGCTCAAGTTCAAACTGAGTATCAGAATGTGGGAGAAAGGGGATTTACTTTGCTGATGCAAGACAGGCTGGTTTGAGTATTTTAGAAACTGCCACTCTTACTGGGATTTTCACACACAACCACCTCTAGGGTTTACAGAGAATAATCTGAAGTGAGCGGCAGTTCTCTGGCAAAAATCCTTTGTTGATGCCAAAGCTAAAGCTCTTCTGCATATCTTATAACTAAATTATGCAGAAGAGCATCTCTGATGACTTTGAACCCTGAAGCAGAAGACCACTCCTGTCAGCTCACCAAAATTGAAAAATAGAAGATTGGAAAAATGTTGGCTGGTCTGATGAGTCTCCATTCATTCATAAATTTAGATGGTAGGGTTAGAACATGGTGTAGACAAGATGACAGCATAAATCCATACTGCCTTGTATCAAAGGTTTAGGTTGTTGGTGTAATGGTGTAAGGGATGTTTTCTTGGCGCACTGGGCCCCTTAGCACCAAGTGAGGATTGTTTAAACACTACAACCTACCCAAGCATGGTCACTGATTATGTCTGTCTCTTTATGATTAGAGGGTGCACAACTTCTGATGACTGCTTCTACTGTGAACCATGTCTCAAAGCTGAGATCATCTGAAAATGGTTTCTTGAAAATGACATGCTGTTTGACAATAAAGTCAGTGTACTCATAACTGTATGTGATGAGTACAGTCATGTCAGTATAGCACAAAATTTCTTCCAGCACCTTATTGCATCTATGCCTTGAATCATCAAGGCAGTTCTGAAGACAAACTGGGGTCCAACGCTATACTACCAAGTTGTACCTAATAAAGTGGTTAGTCTCTATATATCACATTGTGATACTTAATGATACACTGCTAAAGACCTAGATATGTTCATTTGAACAAATTTTCTTTAGTATTTGACTGGCTAGAGACATTACTTTATTTCCTCCTGTGGTAGTTTTAACTAAATGGATGAGTTGAAACACACAAACAGAAGTAAACTAACCTGAATTGTGTTTGATAGTCACATTTACTAACCTGTGATGGTTTTAGCTCTCTCTCGCAGCTGCTTTTGTATTAAAACTGAACTGTTTACTAAGTGCTGCTGAGATATTTCGGTCCATCCATCCACGACTAATAGCGAACATCTCTCCTCGCTTGCTAACTGCCATTCTCACACTTAAAACTGCAGCATTAACAAAGAGGTAATTTTCTTTTAATTTGTGTTTATTTCAGATTACTCCACAATCCTCCATTTATTCCCCGACACCAACAGAATTACCCCCTGGGGCTTGAGCACCCCAGTTGAGAATCACTGAAATAAACTATTTTGCTAATTAGTAAAGCACGTTATTTAATTGTGAGTGAGTCATGTAAAGCGCTCCGTTTTCTCAGTGTTACATACCCCATAAGGCCAAACTAGCCCTCCAGAACCTGTAATACCCTTCATCGTCCTGCCCAAGCGTAGACATGGCAGGTGGGAGGAAATTACCCAGACTGCCCCACAAACAAGCCAGGCCATGCTTTCACTTGGCACACTAAGCTGTCCATCTGTCTACAGTGAACCCCACTTCAGGAACCAAGAGAGCGGAAAGAAGCTCCTGTCGGTCCAGGGAACCAGGATTTTAGAGCATTATGAAATATCGGGCAGCCAGCACTTGCCGTTGTTAGGAGCAATAATGCTCACTTGAACATGAAACAAAAACCACCAAGCTGATTTATTCCGAGGCTGACCTTCTGCGCAGTAAAGCAGCGAGGGAGTTTATGGCTCTTTGACATTCGCTCGCACTAAATCACGCGGTCAAAGTCCAGCCAAGAAGGCAGATGAAACCTCTAATGTGGAGACATTTGTATCGCTCTTTAATTGCGTCTTCCTGCTACGGAATTTCTATTTTACGTTCCTGAGTACGAAACCCAGCCATTAATTACAAAGTGCCATCACAAGTGACTTCATATCATTAGCAATATTAATTATCATTGTGCTCCTTATTCCTTTATGAAACAGAGCATGAGAGTGGAGTCTTTTTTTTCCATCAGGATCCAATTAATTCAATGCAACTGCCTAACAGCTGGTGGCATTTCGACTCCAAGTCTTGCCTACTCTCCAGTGTGAGCATCATTAAAATCAGGTGCTGTAATCATCTGTCGCTGCAGTAGTTGGCAAGGTAACAAAAAACAAATGAGAATGCAGTTAGGGATGGGAAACACAGCCACATGCCCCAGAATGTAATGTACCCTTATGATGTGGGTTTAAATTGACATTGGAGCTTTAATTAAAGGAAGGGGTGCAGAAGTAGCATTATGGGGATTAATGAAACAGTTTGCATACGCTACATGCAAATAGCTGTTTTACATCTGATTAGGCCTGTGTGACACAGCTAGCCCAAGCCTTCTGAAGAGTATCCGGTAAAATAAAACGGCTGCTCCTGAAACCCTCATTTTCTGTTTTTTTTCTGACGTCGTTGCAGTTACTGACAAAGATGAGAGCTGCGAGGAGATGTCCGTCCCGAGCAGCCCCCAGAGCGAGGCCATTCAGCACAGCTCCGTCAGCACCTCCAACGGGGTCAGCTCCTCCTCCACGACCCCGGCCGTCTCCGCCCCGTCCGGCGCTGCCGCCACCGCGTCAAATCAGAGCACAGAGGAGAGCCAAACGCGGAGGGGCGCCAACCAGTCTCAGCCTTCAGGGAGTTGATCGTCCCAAACTGTGCCCGAGCGTCATCGCCGGAGTGCCGTCGCCTCTACAGTCTCTCTGACGAGCAGAGCAAAGGGATTCTCTCTGAGCTTCAGTTCGGACCGTACTGTTTTTAATTTATTCCTGATTTCTTTTATGTTTTGTCCATTTTGTAATTTATAGGCAATGCTTTTAAAAATGCAATGTTTTCTCTGGAACCGATGAAGACAAAAGAATAGGCACTTTAGGTGTAAGATGTAAAACACGTGGTTCTTAAGTGTTTGGAGTTTTTTTGTATTTATGTGACTTATTTATTAATCTTATGGGTTTTTTTTTTTCTTTTTAGTTTAAAGGCGATCAGCTTCAGCGGTTGATCAGCGAATCGTTAGCGACCGTACCAAAGCGTGCCGTGGCTCATTTTGCAGTTTTTCTTGTTTCGTCTTCACGACGTTTTGTAAGCACTATCTTTACAATGAAGTAGAACTGACACTTTTTATTTAAAAGTAACTTTACTTTGTTCCATTTTGCACATATTTGAGAGATATGACGGGTTTACTTTTAAAGACAGTCCGTACATTAAATACAGGCAGCTCTGTTTTTGTTTTCCTTTAGAAGTAGATTAAAGTGCTGTCGCATCACACAAATGTAAATGTCTGAATCAGATTTGAACTTTGACTGATTTTCTGTGAGTGAGGTCAGCTGTAGTTGTGCAATTTGAATGTGTGAGCTCGCCTCTGCCTGTAGGGTAGTCTTCTGGAGGTGAGCCGATTAGGAAACGTGTGTTATTTCATTAACATTCCACCTGTAGTCTGATTGTTCCTGAAGCAGTGATTGTAGGATTGCAGTACCTTATTTTCCATTACTCAATCATGGTGATGTTGACTTCATTCAGTGCCATTAATGTTTTTGTATAAATGACTTGAGTACATTTTTAATGCAGATTAGTTTGAGTTGATTGCCGTAATTTCCGATTTTAAGGGTCTCAGTAGAGGAGATCTCCTGCTTTGTATACTGTCTCTGCTTTATAAGTGACTCGTAATGGCTTTAGCGTCTAATGCGGAGCACTTAATGACATTAGGCTGTTTTCATGGTTGCAAATCTAGGTGACATTTTTTAGAAAACATTGTAAATAACATCAACGATACGTTGTACGTGATCTTTCTTGGTATTATGTACTTTGTTTTTATAGGATTGTCCGGATTCAGTAGCTGAGCCCTTTTGATTACATTAACTTTGTAAGCAGTTTAAAAACTGACCTTAACAGTCTTATTAGGATATGCTTTTTTTCTTTCAATAGGTTGTCATGTAAAACGAAAGCATTGAGATGTGAACTGGAATCACATCATGTATATTAAACTACTACAAGTCTGTAAGAATTATGAGCATTTCATTCAAATAATTGTAAGAAGTCAAATTACACCATGAAGTCAGTTTGCCTTTTTCTCTTAGTCTGTACTGGCTTACTACTGTGTAGTTTTACAAGAAGCTAACTCATTGTTTTCCTAAAGTATGATTTTACTGTTATGTGCTATCTGCATGAGATAATAATTCTCTGCGAGAATTTAACTGTTTATTTGATAATGTCTCAGATAAATATAATTAAACGAGTTATTACAACTTGAGTTGTGAAAACTTTGGTTACTTGTTTTACTTTTTTGGCTTAATTGCTAAAATTAAAAAAAAGGGGTGTGATACTGTGTTGAAAGTGTACTTGTAATGTGAAAGTTCTGTATAAAATTTGAATTGATAAGTTGTTGTAATAAACCTTTTAATATCTCTTTAAAGTCAATCTCTGCTTCTGATTAATTTGCCTGTGATGTCACATAAATAAAGCACAGGTGGGATTAAACTCCTGAACCGTTAATATGCTTCTTATACGAATCTGTAATTTGGCATGTGACAAACCCAGATATGAAACCACAGTGTAGAGCTGTGATAAGCTTGAACATTTACTGTGGTATAGACTGCCACCTTGTGGAAGATCTGCAGGTGTATTTGTGATCCAGAGTCAGTGCAAAAAATATATATATATGTGACTAAATGATACATGCTCAAACATTTTACCACCACCCCTGTAGTTTCTTGTGTTTTTGAAAGCTAATGTTCTTCTTCAGGTCAGGTTAGCAGACGTTTTACTCTATGAGTAAATGAAAGAACTTTGCAACCACTAAACTTGACAGAATCATGACTGAAAGCTGTACCCAACTTCAAAATCTCCCTTTCACGGTAATGACAGTTTATTAGGAACACTAACACCTCTATTGTGTGGAATTTAGCTGATAGTACTTTCACAAGAATCAGTATCTCTGAGCAGAATTTATTGACATCATCAGTGCTGAGCCATAAAACCTCCAGGAAGCAGGATTAGAATCCAGCTTCAACATCCTTCACTTGCAGCACTTCCACAGCAAGTCCTCTTCCCTTTTCCATTCAAATTTTTTAAAGATTTTTCTTTATTTTTTGGGATATATTTTGCCACAAAGAAAAGGGGCAGGTTGCTCCGTACCACACTGATAAAAGTTAATTCGACTAAGAACAAGTATTCAAGATGTAAACACTGACAGTTACACGAGTCCATGGCTGTACTTGCCTTTACACCATATTATGACACATCCATGGCTGCTTTCAGCAGGATAAGTCCCAAAGCTCAAACCATCTCAAGCTGGTGTTTTGAAAATTATAAATTTATTGTAGTCAAACGTCCTCCACAGTCATCAAATCTCAGTCCAATGGAGCATCTTTAGGATGTGGTTGTTATGACCCAAGATCTGGGGCCTGCTGAGTGGCTGGGTTGAACTCATTCCTGTTCCCAGATTGGATAATTGGTTGGGCAGCCAACTCCTAACCACCTCCACCACCCAACAAACAGCCAGTGGCTGTGTCCCAATT